CTGCAAGGAGATCCAACAAGTCCATCCTAAAGGAGATCAGTCCTGGGTGTTCACTGGAAGGACTGATGCTGAAGCTGAAACTCCAATACTTTGGCCGCCTCATGTGAAGAGCTGACTCGTTGGAAAAGACCCTGATGCTTAGAGGGATTGGGGGCAGGAGGAGAAGGGGATGACAGAGGATGAGATGGCTGGATGGCATCACCGACTCGATGGATGTGAGTTTGAGTAAACTCCAGGAGTTGGTGATGGACAGGGAGGCCTGGCGTGCTGTGATTCATGGGGTCGCAGAGTCGGACACGACTGAGTGACTGAACTGAACTGAACTGAACTATAGGTAGCGGATGGAGGGTGTATGAAATGGTGAAGGTTTTCAAATGTACTGACTTCCAATTATTGAAAGAATAAGTCCTGGGGATATAATGCATAGCATGGTTTCAATACTTAGTATTGATGTATTATATATTTGAAAGTTCCTAAAATAGTAAATTTTAAAATTCCTCACTAGAAGAGAAAAATGTGTGGTGATGGATGTCAACTGAACTTATCACTCGTCATTTCATAATATATTCATATGTAGAATCATTCTGATGAACACCTGAAATTAATATAACATTAGGTCAATTGTATCTCCATAAAAATTAGTTTTAAAAAGACTCACTTTAATCCACATCCAACTTCCTGTGTTCATTCCTCAAGAAGGTTCAAAAGAGGAAAAAGGTAATCAGTGAACATTTTCCCAAACCCAACGTTGATTTTAATGTTTTAGCACCTAGTAACAAAGCTTACAGCTAGTTCTCAGAATTGGGCATTATTTCAACATTTTATTGACACAAAATTGCTAATTTGATATACAGATTTTATGGTCCTAAAACTAGCGAAATGCCTTTACCCTATTTGTGATTAGTCTCAAGAACTGCAGGCAGTGATGAAAATTAAGGTGGTGGGGCTCAGGTGATTCAAAGTTACAGAAATGAACAATACATAGTCTTGAAGTTTGGTTAGGTTTAGAAGGTAAGGTGCTGTATTTTTTATTAGACTTATTCTAACATCATGTTCCTTCCATAATGATGAAACCTCTTAGAATAGAAAAAATGTTTTGTTATTTTTGAAAAGAATTTTATCCATTATAAACTTTCATGAGTGTCTGTCTCTAGGTAAAACTTGCACCTGTTTCAGTCTTGGTTTATTTATGACATGGACTGCTTGAAAAGAACTAGTCAAAAAAAAAAAATAACTAGTCAGTGATACACAGTTATATAAGTGATCATTTTAATCCAGCTACTTACTGTCTTATGTTTGGACTATAAGACAATAGTAATAAGACAAAATAGTGTAAGACAAAAAAAATAGTAATCAATGATCTTTCAGAGTAATTAATAATTCATAATAGCTATTGTCTTGGATAAAAATGTTATTCTGTAAATTACTATGAGTTCCAGGAAGCAAGATTTCTGATGTAGGTGTATCATCCATCTCTAGTGAGTATCTGGGAATAGAACTAGGGAGGAGGTTTACTGTTACTGAAAGGGTTTCTTAGATTGATTTGGGAGGAAAAGCCATCTAGGCGCTCTTTCTTTTGTTGGTCCTTTCTAATTCTCATTTAAACACTAATAAAAACAAATACTGGAGAAATTTAGTGTATTCTAGAAAAAATATCTAATGCCACAAATTAAGCAAGATTCTTGCAGTAAATGGTTAGATTGTGCCTGGTCAAAAATAACTTGGGGTAACTATGATGCCTAAAAAGTTGGGGTACTCTGGCTAGCAAATCCTTGGGTACTTATCCTTTAAGTGCAGGAGGTATCTCAGTGCAAGGTCTGTGCCCAGCATTGTGTCCCCCAAAGCTAGCCTAGTGTCTGGCACATTAAAAGAAATTCATACTTATTGATTGCACCTTTAGTAATTGATTTAAATATTTATTATTTATCCACCTAGATTCTTTATATATACTCAAAGAAGCCAGAACACCCATGAAACACACACACACTTATTTATTACTTATCCAACTAGATTCTTCTCTACATACATAGAAGGAAGTCAGAACACACACATAATTATTCTATTTAATTATTACTTGTTATTTATCCATGTAGATTTTTCTGTACATATATTCAAGGAAGCCAGAACACACACACAGACACACACGTATTTAGTTATTTATCCATGAAGAATTTTCTCTATATATATTCAAGGAAACCAGCACACACACACACACACACACACGCACACATTTTTTATCCATATAGATTTTTCTTTGTATATATTCAAGGAAGCCAGAACACACACGCACACACACATATACACGTGCACACATTTGTTAATTATTTATTTACCCATCTCTATTCTTTATATATTTTTAAAGGAGCCCCAAAATGAGTAAAGGGTGGGGGCTGGGTATTTAATGTCTCTAGGAAAAATATTAGTTCCTTGGTAAATAAGCTAGTTATCACATAGTTTATAGGTGTATACCATGTATTTTTTCATTATATTGAACAGTTCTTTGTGAATTCAAAACCACTGGTCTTAGTTGCGATTGCTGATTTAATTCCATGAATAATTTTGTTTACTTTCTTCTGCCATTATGCGCTTCTTCCTTTCTGTAGTTCTTGATCTATCTGGAATTCACTAGTGTATTTTTTGAGGTATGGGTGAAAAAGTTTTCCACATGAATACTTAATTGCTTTTATATGTTTTTATAAACTGTGTATTTTCCCTTAAGTTTTGTTTAATCCTGTGGTTTTGGAAGCGAGGTGGCGGTCAGAAAGGGGAGGAGTCTAGGTGCAACAACATAGGGATGTATAGGATACTTCCATTTCTTTTCAAAGCGGTTTGGTTTAAATTAAGGAACACCCACCCCCAAATAAGCATTTGATTGTGTCCCACCACCAATTTTGCAAATCCCGCCCACCACTCAGCGCACTGTGGAAGCCCATGAACTCTGGGCTAGATGAGTAACTCTTCAGGATGGTATGCTTCTAAGGTGAAAGTTTTTAGGTTGTGTGTGTCCATCCTTACCCCAGATCATTCCATTTAGTGGTCTCCCATGTGTAACTCCCAATAAATGATTGCATTTACATAATTACCCCATCATTGTACCCAGTAACCCTTCAAAACCTACACATCACTGAGCCCTTTTATCAGGGTTTCTAAGGAGTGGCAGAAGCTGGCAATGTTGTTTTTTCTTTCAGTTTTATTGAGATTAATTATATAAGGTGAGCAGCTTTAATAGTTTGACATCTGTTTTGTGAAATGATTATCATTATACCTTTAGGTCAGGTTTTCTATACACAAGCTATTATCCTACAACTGTTATAAAATTCGATAGGATGAGTGCTTCCTCAATCTCATTTGTCACTTTAGATGATTTTCATGGTAACTCTGATATTGTTTTAGGGTTATTTGGTGTTAAAAGCATCTGTCTGCTAATTTCCCTTCATGTCATGCCTGAGTACATTTGATATGTCTTCTCTTTTATCCTTAAGTTTTTCATAATTTTCTATTAATATATCTCAGGTATTCCAAGTTTGACAATTGTCCTTCAGTCAACAAGTCGTGTCTGACTCTGTGACCCCATGGTAAATTCATATAAAAATAGTTATACATGTTAACAGAATCTCTATTAATTGTGTGGCCTTAATTTATGTTAATGTTTTTCAGCTTAGAAAGGTTTTAATATTATGTCCATAGAGTTGCTATTAATTGTGGGGCTTTATTGTATACATTAAAGGTTTGCATTGGGAATGATTTCATGGATTTCTTGGAATATTCTGGGTAAATGATGGACACTGTGTTGCTTGATTGATATATAGCACCCCCACCCTTCCCACCCCACTGCCCTTCCATCCCCAGCCCCATCCTCTAGACTCCCCGACCCTCCTCACTCCGCCTTCTTCCTTCACCCTCTCTTCCCCTCCCCACCCGTCCTTTCCTCCCCCTCCCCCTCCCTCCCCACCTCCTTTCCTCCTTCCCCTTCCCCGTCCTCCCCCAACCCCGTCCACTCCATGTCCAGTGTACGCTGAAATGATCAAGACACAGTTTGCACTTAACCACTAAATCTTTATTGAATTTTTATTATAACATAAGTTGATACATTAGTAAATAGAGCGAGATACAGAGTAAATAGCAGTAAGTGGGGAAGGGTAGGGAGGTGGTGCGCGGGCAGGTGGAAGTGCAGCGTTAGGAGGAAGGGGCAGGGGTAAGGAGAAGGGCCACTGACAGGGGCATAAGCAACGGTTCTTACCACTTTTCTGTAACTTCCATGAATCTTTACCATCTATCATTATCAATATCACTCCAGCAACCATTTCTCAAAGGGCATCTATCTATCTTAACTCTCTAAAGACTGCTTACAATCTCAATCCCCAGAGTTAATACTCAGGGCCAAGAGCCTCTATTAGATTATTTATCCAATCATCCCTGAACTTTCTCCCACTAGTTTCTATCCGTGTCCAACAGCCCCAAAAAGGTTGATCTCCCTGCAGTTCCCTTCAAGTTTATCTGAAATCTTTAGGGGTAGCAATCATAGGGTAAAGAATCACAAGGAGGTGCACATGTTTACTTATAGAGGTATCTAATAACAGAGTATCATGCTTTTTAACTAATCCCACCCACTTATGATTACTTAATAGCCCCCCCTAAAATACTTATGATTATATATATCCCCAGTTAAATCGTTACACAAAGAAATAAAAACAAGAAAAGTTTCCACAGACCAATTTGATAGCATTCTACAATCTGAAACAACAAAGAACTCTCAATCCCAACTGACGCGCCTTCTTTCTTTAAGATGAGAGCGTGGCATGGCTCCCATCAGACTCTTCATCTCTGCAGGCGGTTCTCTTCCTTTCTGCCCAGGTCTTTCTAGCAGAGTGTTCTCTGTTGCCAATCTTGGAACTCTGATGTTAGATGTCTGTGGTGGATGATGACTGGATCAATTCAGGAGCCCAAAAGGTACCTGCGAACTTAAGCAGAAATCCTGACTGCACTGTGTAGGCGTGCCCCTCTTATTTTGTCCACCTGAAGTTCACTGTGCCAACTCACATGATTTATTCCAACTAACTCTCCATTTTCCAGGATCTAATACAAGTACCTCATTGCTCAAACTAAATTGACCCTTCAGAAATGTACCTAAACTTCCTCCATTTCAACAACCTAGCATGGTGACCTTAGCTAGTTTTCTCCAGGTCTGCCTAACAATGGGAGCTTATATCTTCTTTCTTCATTTTTTTTAACTAACACTGAAAATTTGGGCCAAAAGTCAATCAATTTTGTCATTGTTTCAAAAGGCAGACTTGGCTTTGCTAATAATTTTGATGTTTTATTTCTCATCTTTGTCTTTATTTTGCTCCCTTTCCATATTCTTTAGAGATCAATTTGCTTTCTCCTTTCTTACGAATAAAGGCATCTTGTTGGAAAATGCCAAAAACTTTTAAAGTATTCAATTAAAACAAAATTGATGAAAACACATGAGCTAAAGGAAACTTAATAAAATTCTAATTCTATAGAATAAGTTTGAGATTACTTATCTTGAACATCTACCTAAGCATATAGATAATATATATAGCTATAGTGCATAGTACACACTGCCAAACAGATTTTCACAAGCTCTACCAAAACAGCCAGAGGTGTGTCAGGGATTTCCTCTGTGAGTTGTTAACCCACACCACCATTCTCCCTCATGATAGTTGTTGTCACATCTCCAGACTTCCGCTTGCAGTGATGGCAATGTCCGTGTGCACATGCTGGGGCTGCAGACAGTAGCCCATTTCTAGGCCTTCTGCAGCTTGAAGATCAATTGACAACTGTAAATTTGACACAAAGCAACTTGAATTCAAATGTATGGAGGATGGATTGATTGATTGAGGTAAACTGACGTGATGCTTCAAAAAGTCCAGAAGCACAAATGCACCATTTAAAAAGAAATTAACCTAAAACACATGAGTGACTGACAAGCTTTCAGATTCCATTGAAAAAAAAAAAAGGAAAAGTTGTTTTGGATTAAATAGTCAATTAGGCAATTAGGTATTTCCTTTGAATTTGTGTATCATTTTGTTTGATTTTTAAAGGCCCAATCAAAAAAAATTTTAAACTATAGATGATGTTAAAATAGAAGTTTGAAGATGAACAGGATGAACTATTATACAAGTACTCCAGTCTGAGGAGCCTCTTATTCACAGTGTTGTAAGAGAAGTTCACAGTAAAGAACTATTTTACACTACCTTATGTATCAATTTTAATTGATTTAATAAGAGTTGGATAGTGATTCAATGGAAATAACTTTGAAAGCAGAGTCACTACTTTAAAACACTATTAAAGAATACTATCAACCTACAGCTAAAACTTTTAAGTATTTAAACATGCAAGGGTAAGGGTGATAATGAATATATGAAGGGTGATGCTGATGCAAAGTGAAACTTCACCACTGGACTCCTCTTCATGACAGGCTATTTGAAATATACACCATATTGTTTTCTACTGCTCAGACTGTTGGAGACTGTGTGTTGAAACACAAGCTCCCAGGAGCCTGCCTCTTTTTCTTCTCCGTGCCAAGGCGGCAAAATGGAGTCTCAGCAACCAGGCAGGCAGGATGTCAAATCCCACAGCAGGGTAAGTGGCAGTAGTAAACAAGAGACAGAGATTAGGTAATCAGTTCAAGGCGGTAGCAAGGGACCAGGCTAAAGGAAGTCAGGCAGTCCCGGGTTAGCACAAAGCATCCAGGAGACACCAGCTGATGTCACCAGATTGAAGACAACCCTCGTGGTGTCTGTTGCTTGGGGTTGCTTTCTGAGGCCTTTCGTTCATTGGCAGCTTATCGGCTCCATCCCCTAGAGGATGCTAAAATACACTCCCCCCCGCCAAGCATCCTAGTGCTATAGTCTAGTGAGGGGACTGAAAATGAAATGCCCAGGTGCATATGGAGGCAGAGACAAGGACAGATGCTCCCAAGACTTCAGGTGACACCCTTCCAGGCAGTGAACAATGCTCGTGAAAATTCTTTCTGAAGTTCCAGGTCAAGGTGGTACCATTAACTGAGTCTCTCCTTTAAGAGTTGGGTACAGGGATTCAGGAGTCCTCATAAGCTACTCGTTAGCCCTCACACATGACATTTCACAAATATCTAACCACCTGGAGCCACCAACAGTCTCTGGTTACCAGGCTTTTTGTTTTGTGTGGAAGCCATTGCTGGCATGGTGATGGTAAGGTGTTGTGACAAAGTCAGAGTTATTGGGTACATGTGATTTGCACCAGGATGTGAAGGCACACTCAAACATGCACACGTCTCTCTGAGAACACTTCCTCCTGAGGCCTGAGGTGTTCCGTTGAAGGGGTTTTGCCTGCTCCCGGGAGAACTGGTCAAGTTGCTACTCTTTCAGTCATGAAAATGGAGTTTGGAGATGGTGAAGTTTCAAAGGGTGCAGCCAGAAGATCACGGAAGCCATTGGCAATGCACCAGTAACTGGCTTCCTAATAAGGCCTCCCTCCTCCAAGGCTGTAGGTACCTCAACTGCAGGGAAAGTCAGGTCCTCCTCCTCCTCGCCTCCCCCTCAGTGAAGAAAACAGCATTTCCTGTGTTTGCATCAGCTTCTCAATAACTGTTTAACGAGGAAACTGAGAGCCCATCATTCAGATGGTGCAGGAGGTTTCTGCAGGTAAAACCCAGGTCTCCAGGGATTGCTGGGAAGTAAACTTGTGACAGATTTTAACTAGGTTGGCAGTTAAGGTGGAAAACCAGAGATAATTTGTTGGTAAATATTTTGTTGCTCCCACCAAACACTGGAGGTCAGCGGGTGCTTTGAGATGGGTGTCAGTCCAGGGTGGCCCTGGCCTTCTGTAACCATTTCAGAGGAGAGCCTGTGCTCAGGTTGGTCTGAAGGCGCAGTGGCCCGATGTAGCACACAGTCACAGTCAGCGACGCTGAACAGTTCATTTTGAGGCTGGAGATCCTGAAGGGCTGGATACCTATTCACAGGGCGCTGTAAGACGGCGGCGGGGGCGGCGGCGGGGGCGGCGGCGGCGGCTGCGGCGGGGGGTACTGGGGCACTGGCGGCTGGCGGTACCAATGAGGATTCCAGGTGATCATCACGGGGACATAGAGGGATCGCCCGTGTCCATCTCGCCCCACGGGGTACCAGGCGAATCCTACCGTGTAGGTCGGGTACGCGGCGTAGGCGGGGTAGGTCGGATATCCTGGAATTTGAGGTACGTATTCAGTGTAGGTCGCCAGGTGAGCTTGGTCATCTAAATTTGGAATTGTGAGTCGAGGATATTGATTCTGGATGGTGACACCGTTGGGACCCCGGCAGTCATAAGAAACTTGCAGCTTCCACCCTCTCTTCACTTGGAGAACTTGGGCTCCGTTCGGCGCGATGGTGGGAGTGATCAGCCCATCCTTCACGTGTCTGGCGACGAAATCGCGCAGGGCTGCCATTTCAGATTCGGACAGTGAGTAGACATGTCCGCTGGGAATACTGTGTGCTCCGGGGATCATTTCTATGTTTGGGTCCACCAGACGGTGGTCTGGGTAGACGTTCTCATCCACTGGGGTGTACACATTCTGCACGTAGTAGTATCTCACAGGCTGATAAACTCTGTACCCCTCTACCGGGTAATAGAACGCCGGTTGTGCTGGTGGTGGGAGAGGTGGTGGTATTGGAGAATACATCCGGCAGTGGTATCTGCAATATTCGGAATCAAAGACGATCGATCGGGTGCTCCACGTGATGTTGGGATCGTGTGTGCTCAGCCAGCGCACCCCCAGGACGATGGGGAAGAACGGAGACTGAGTCACATCGAACGACAGCACCTCGCGGTGATCTCCCAAGTCAACGATCAGGTCGTGTGTTTCATGGACCACTGGGCCCGATGCTATGGGGCGTCCATCAATTGCTTCTACAAGTATGGGCCAGTCCTTGATTCTCAGAGGAATGCCGTTCTGGGCCACGTACTCGTGATCAATGAAATTGCCAGAAGCGCCAGAATCGATCATGGCTCGGACGAACAGGCTGTGTCGGCCCGGGAGATGAATCTGGAGCATCACTTGCAAGTGTGGAGATGATGCAGCATCATCTTGGGGGGACCTTATTAATTCCGGCCCGGTCGCTGAAGGTCCCTCTACAGCGGGGCCGGGGAGTTTCCCGCCGGCGAAGCCTTCGAGGCCTTGGCAGGACAGTTGTCAGCGTAGTGGCCTCCATTCCCACAGTAGAGGCACAGGTTCAGCTTGCGGCGTCTCTCTTTCTCTTCCTGCGTCAGGCGCATGCGGGCGCCCCCCACGGGCTCGGTCGGGTCTACCTGGTGGTGGTGGTGATTGTTGACATGCGGCGCCACCAGCGCGCGTGGCGGGGAGCGCGGCTTGCGGGCGGCGGCTGCCCGGGCCAGTCTTCTCTCGATGTGGATGCACTGGCCGATGAGCGCGGACAGCGACTTGGCCACTTCAAGGTGCGCCAGCTCTGCCTGGATGTGGTCGCTGAGGCCCTCATGGTACTGGTCGATCAGGGCGGGCTCGTTCCAATCCAGGTCCTGCGCGATCATCTGGAAAGCATTAGAGTAGTCGACCACCGACCCCATGCCCTGGCGCAGACGTCTGATCTTGCGTTTGGCGGCCTCGCGCCGCTGGGGGTCTTCAAAGACATGCTTCATTTCGGTCATGAAGGCTGCGTAGTTGTGCATCAGGTAGTGGGAACGCTCCAGCTTGGCCGAGGCCCAGCGCGCAGCGCGGCCAGTCATCATGCTGGTCACGAAGCAGACGCGCACGCGATCGAGGGAGAAATCGCGGGTGCTCTTCTCCATGAAGAGCTGGCACTGGGATATGAAGGGAAGCAGCATGTCTGGGTTGCCGTCGAACTTCTCGGGGAGGTCTTCTGGGCACTCCTCCTCGATTGGGGTGGCTGGGGCGGCGGCGGCGGCGGCCCCGCAGAGCTCGATGTCGTCCTCTTCCTCCTCGGGGGCGGGCTCCACTTGCTCACGGAGGGTGGTGTTCTCCTCGGTGAGTTTCTGCACCTGGTTCTGCAGGTTGTTGTTCTCCTCGGACTGCTTCATGACCTTCTCTCTGAGGTTGTTGATCTCTTCCGAGAGATCCTCCCGCCGGCCTTCTCCCAGGTTGGGGTTGTACTGGCCCCTCTGGCTGCTGCAGGGGGAGTTGGAGGGGGAGGAAGGATCGTTGGGGGGAGGAGGAGGCGGAGGAGGTGGGCAGTCGGGCCCCAGGGTGATGGTTGAGGTGGGAGGAGACCTCCCGGGCGTAGTAGCTTCACTCCTGTGGGAATGGAGGCCGGTGTCCTGGCCTCCACGTCCACCTTTTCGCCTTCTGGTTTTCAGAAGCCTTTTGTTTCTGTAAGTGAAGATAAAAGCATAAATTCAACACATGCATTCAAAGCACCACAATACGAAGTATCTGCTGAAGTACTTTAAATACATGAGCATTTAAAGTATCGCTTTATTCCCCTTGTTTACATCGATAGTTAAACAGACCAAAGCCCCACAAAAAAAGATGTTTATCAAAGGACTGTGGACAATGAAAAGATCCTCCTCTTTGATGTCCAAATGATCCTTTCCTCAAGAATCACCTGTTCATTATAATTTAATAATACGTGACTCTTATAAGCAGCATGATTACCTTTACTGACTAATAAATAATTTAGAGACACTCCAAATAAGAAACTTTATAAGCAGAGCAAGAAAACTTCAAGGCAAAGATTGATACCAAAAATTATGTAAAATAAAGCCAACATGGTAACTACTTGTTACTGGAAAAACAGCTACTATTCCAGCCAATAGAAAAACAAGGAAAAGAAGGAGGGGGGATGTTTGAATATCCCAATGCCTGTATTCATCAACCCATCGGTGGGGTGGCACTCTGGCCCACTGTCAGGACCCTGATCCACCTTTACAGAGAAGGTAACTATTAACAGTTATCAAAACACACGACAACTGCCACAAAGCCAACAGAGGACTGTCTAAATTCCTTTTCAGACCCTAATTAGAGTTCCCCTTTGGGGCAGAAATGGTACTGGGCAGCAACCTGTATATATTGGTTTCCCTCCTTATCATGCAGTCAACCCACAGTTATTGATTGACGCCTCTTAGAAGTAGCTGGGCTATAAAACAGAACCTTCAAAGAAGCCCAATAACAGTGCCCCTCAGACTTACAATGAGGGTTTAATTAGATAATGCAAGTAAAGCACATAGTGCATATTCAACTGTTAGCTGATATTAATAAAGTTACTAATAAAAACAGAAACTTTAACTTTCTGTATAATGAGGCTAAGATTAAAACAGGGAGGGGCTGCAACTATGGTAACCTGGGTCCCACATCCCACCTAAAGATACTCGTTTTTTTTAAAAAAAAGACTGTGTCCATAGGGGTGAATGACTGTGAGGGGGAAGGGATGAGCGGACTTAATGCCCTAATTATGGGTAGGGTGACAATAAATTACATATATAATAAATAAATCAGCACACAGGGGCATGTGTACTGCCTGGAAATAGGGTTAAATTCATTTAGAGTAATTATGGTAACACATCAATGATTTTTAAAATGGGCATTAAGTGTTCTTATTTGGAAAACTAGGAAAGTGCTCAAAACTTTAAAAATAGAATATATAAAGCCAGTAGACTGCCTATTCATTACATTTTAACTTGGCAGTCCTAGACACCTATTCCTTTCTGATCCAGCAAGGCAAAAACAGACACCAAATTAATTATGTAAAATAAAGCCACAAAAGTAAACAGGCTATTCAGAGAAGTTAGGTGAAAAATTGCTAATATTTCATCAATAGGGTATGCGGGTGTGCGCGGGGGTGGGGGTGGGGGGAAGGTGATGGTAATTAAACATGGTGCCTGGCTGCAGAGAAATACCCGTTCCTCCTCCTCTTTTTGAGACCCCTCCAAGTTCTTTAGGCCCCTTCCCTGCCCCAGCCCCACCACCCACAGCCATCTTCCCTTATGCCCCGGGCTGTTGGTTCTGCCTCTTCAAGGACTGGCAGCAAGCAGAGTCCTTAGGTACAGAATTACTGTGCCATTTTAATATTTTTAAACTGCTACTTAATTACTTTAATAACTTAAGACTACGGAAACAATGAATAGTTGACATACAAGATAAGACATTCGGGTTTAGAAAAAATGAGACGTAATTAACACATCACAGCCTGTGACATTGTTTCATGTCCAACTGCTTAAAGACTATTACATTGGTGACACTCAAAATATGAGGTCACAAAATGATGCCATTGTTATTAATTAAATGAAGTGTTTTAATGTCCCATTAAAAAGCAACTAATAAGCACAGGTCATTGTGTCATGTCACGATGACTCAAGTGCCACTTCTGTCATCAAAACACTAACACTTTCAAAAGTTAGAGACAAGACTTCGGAAAAGGCATTTCACAGCATGGCTGGAGCAGGTCAGAAAGGTTAACCACCTATATGTCAATCACAGTCACTGGGGTGGGCTTTATTGAGGCCCAGGTCTGATGGTTTTCACATCTGCAAAACACAAGGACAGGACAAAAATAACAATACATTAGGAAATCAGTAAACAATCACTGAATTGTCTATGGAAACAGAAGACGGGCAAGACCTTAAAATTCAAATGCTTTTGGGGACAAAAAGGTAATAGAAATGTGCAGAGACTGGACGGTAGGGAGGGGCCACAGTTATTTCACTTGGGGATGAATACCCCCACCCACTGCCCCCCGCCCCAAACTCTTTTAAACCTTGTGTGATTTTTAAATCCAGTGCCGGTCAAACAAATTCAGGGCCCTATTTGACCTGTGAGATTACTAGTTTGAGGTCCCTAACTTTTACCAGTATCAAGCTTAAGGTTCCCACCGCAGGGTTTGTAATTTTGGGGTGGGACTCTTAAGTCCTAAAAGGGTCAACTGCTCAGAACAGAGTTGTTTAACCATTAACACTGATAGGGTAGTGGGCAAGCAAGTTAAGAGCAGAAGTAAAGTTTACAAATGTTTAGACGGCAACTGGAGCAGCAGATCACAGGCAACAGGGGCACTGTGACTTGATGTGAACAACAGGACTATGGCTCCTTAAATGCCTCCTTAGTAGGGACTGGATTGCAGAGGTGGGGTCAAAAGGCCCCATTCCTAAAATAAAACCTCAAAGAACACACAGCATATAGCTAAGCCACCCGGGACAGACACCACCTTTACACATGAAAAACAGTTCAGTATCACTCTATTTAAGAATTAAATACATTTGATTAATGTTTGACTCTTCACAAGGATTTTTGAAACTTTCTATTCCCCCCACCCTACCCTCCCTCAACGCCCCCACCGAAGACACCAAAGCACAACAGTAGCATAAAACCATCACACATTAAGTATCACTCTAGTAAATGACACTTCACCAAACAATGCTTAATTGTTTTACATTTGCAAATGGCCACATTTCTTTTTGAGAACTGTACAGTTAGTGAAATGTAAATTCTAATAATATGCACATTTTAAAAACCATTGTTTTGAACCTTTTTATAATGCAGACACAATTTCCAAAGAGAAGCGGGGTTAGGGCTGCAAGGTAGGTAAATGGGACCTGGGGACTTGAAGCTGTAATTATGTTATCCACAGACTATATACTTGTTGGAGGCAGTGTGTGTGTGGGGGGGGGGGGTGACTGGTGGGGAGTGACAACTTTGGGGAGCCAATGCTTCCAAATGTCCCTGTAACAGTCCTGGTTCATGGTTTATAACATACGGAACCAGGCTTTAAAATTTCATTTAATTAGAAACATAAATATCTGACTGGCAGTAAACTATAAATTTGTTTTATGCAAATATTTTAAAATGCCAGCTAAAACCTTCAATCTATATTTTGTAATGTAACCATTTTGTTACATTACACAAATTTTAGACAATTATGTACCATTAACTAATCCACTTGCCCCAAATTTAAATAATTAGCATTGTTTTTTAGTTTATAAAAAAGCTAATTATTTTTAGTGTTTTGAATTAATTTGGCTGTTTTGAATTATAATTACAGCTTACATATTCAACTTTAAAAATGCAATTTTTTTTTTAAGATCCTGTTAAATGTCAGCAAGATAAAACAAACAGCATCTTGGACAACCCAGGACAGCAAAACACCACAGGAAACAGCCAGGAACAAAAAATCAGAAAACACCTGCATACACCAAGGAAGACATTGAATAAACCATTTTACTCTGATCATTTAACCAGTGCCTACAATATGCCAGACCCAATTAATAATATGTAGGCAAGTTAGCCAGGGCTAATGCCCTAGCGTTTCAAGAAAAAAATCCAGAAATACACCTCATCCTCCTTTAGAGGCCAAGCCAGCAGCACCAACAAAGTTACTTAAAACTCCTGTGAAACCAAGTTCAAGTTCTTTATTTTGTATTCACCAAAGCATATGATTCCATTGGGTCCCACCACAAAGGTCCACTAGTGTGTTCCAAACACTTTTAAAAGTTTTTTAATTAAAAAAAATTTTTTATTTAGATTTTAAAAAACCTTAAAGCTTAAAAATGTTATTTTATTTTTCATTTGTAGTAAAAACATTTAGCTAGATTGCCTTTAGAGGCTCCAGCCATGTCAGTTTGGAAGCACCCTTCATAACCCACTATCAGGAATTTAAATTGTGGGTTTATGTTATTTAATATATACAAAGTGCTTATAAAAAGTGGCTTTTTAATGCCATGTATAATTGTCATTATTGTTAACTGTCCTTATATATTATTATGTTATTTATTAGACACCAGTGGATAAAAGGCAAAACCTGCACATAAGAGAGACCACAGCAGAGAAACCGCAGGAGGGCGGGGCTGTGCAGCCAGGCTCAGGCAGCAAGGGTGCGCAGGCGCAAAGGAGGGGTGGGGGGGGGGGACCCTGACGAGATGGTTGGGGGCTCACACTGCGCAGGCGCAAGTGCACTCTGGAGAGGCGGGGCCATAGGCCAGCTCAGAAGAGGCAGGCTCAGGGTGGGGCCAAGTTTTGAAAGGCGGGGTCTGGACGAGCTACCTCGGAGGAGGCGGCTCAGAGAGAGGCGGGGTCTGGAGGTGCGACCTAAGGGGGGGGGTTGGTTCGGGGGAAGGTGGGGTTTAGGGAAGCCGCCTCAGAGGAGGCGGGCTCAGGGGAAGGCGGGGCTTGGGGAAGCGGGATCTAGAAGGCGCGCTCTGGGAAGGCGCGCCACAGAAGAGGCGCGCTCTGAGCAGGCGCTGGGCGGCGCTAAGCCTGCTCTGAGCAGACACTGCAGAGAAGGCGCGCTAGAATGGGCGGGGCAGGTCTAAGACGGGCTGCACGCCTCTCCCAGGATCCCCCCCCCTCCCCAAACCCCTCCCACCAGCCTCCACCAGCCAGATTCATTTCATGCAACAAGAGCAATCACCCCCAGATCCAGTCCCCCCCCCACCCCGCGCCTCCCAATACTAAGCAAACCAACAGTTTCCACAAACTGTTGCTGGAATGCCAATTCGCGCCACCACTACAACTACACTGCCACTTCAATCAAGCGCAACTAAGCAAGGAAGCCCTGCCACCACCCAAAGATTCCCTTTTACGCACGGTCAGAGCCCCTCCACTCCGCTGCCATAGCAGGAATGGTGTGGGCAGAATGTTAAACACTAATTTTTGCCCCGGGCTCCATTTTGTCTAACAGCACCATCATGCAGAGAACCGTCCTGTAGAAAAACGTAGTGGGAGCCATTCCAAAGGTGTGTTAGAGACAAAGGGTGGGGTTCCTCTAAGAACAGAGTGATCTTACTCTTCGGCTCCTGTCCGCTTCAACTGGTTTCTTTGTAGCGCAAAACAGTGCAGCTTGTCTATTTCTGCAGCTGTTATTACTCTGTAGCGCATTTTAGGTATAAACCGTTCCACAGCTCGTGCACCCCTGCGGTTCCTGTGTCTCGTAGCGCAACGAGGCGCCGTTGTAGTGCTAGCGTATCATTTTTGTAGCGCTAATCTTCTACAGCTCTGATTTTGTAGCGCATTTGAAGCGCAAATCAGTCATCAGTCTGTGGTTCATAAATCGCGGCAATTCATAAATCGCTGCAGTTCATACTGGTTTCAGTGCAAAAGAAGCGCCCATCAGTTTATAGCGCGTCGACGCGCCCATCGCTTTGTAGCGCACTGATGCGCCCATTAGTCTGTAGCGCATTGAAGCGCCTATCGGGTCTGTAGCGCATTTGAAGCGCTTATCAGTTTGTAGCGCATTTGAAGCGCTCATCAGTTTGCAGCGCATCTGAAGCGCCTATTAGTTTGTAGCGGATATCACTTTGCAGAACATCTGCAAATGGGTCTGCAGCTCATGTTTGTCTGCAGCTCATGTTTGTCCGCAGCTCATATCTGTCTACAACCCGTATCTAGACTCAGGTACTAGAAATCAAAGCCCTGAAGGCTTGGATTCTTCACGCAGTTTTGGGGTGCAGCCAGTGAAGGCGTGACAAGGTGTGCATGGAGACATTCGGGGCGCTACTCCATCTCCTGCAGCTCTCGATAAGAACGGGGAAAGAGCGTGATCTTAAAGAAAAAGAAACATCCTCACCGCATACTCACCACGCGAGGACTCCTCTGCGAAGGCTGGAAAGACGGGGTCCCACACCTGTGCCAGGCGTGGGCGCCGCTGGGTGCTCGGCAGCCCGGAGTGGCTCCGGACGCGAGCCCGCTCAGCGGACCTTCCTGGAGGTTCGGTGGTCCGTCTCCGCTGGTCTCTTCAGGTCGTAGTCAGGTTTCTTCGACACACACCAACCGAAGTTGAAGCGCGTGTACCGAGAGCGCCGACCGGGAGCCTTATATAGGCTGAACCGAGGAGGGGGGCGCCAAATCCCAGCGTGCTCTGCGGGCTAGGGGGATGGGGGAGATGGGGGTGGGGGCGATGGCCCCGCTACAGTGGCCCGCCGCTAGAGGGAGTTCGGGATTAAGGAGGGGGTGCAGGATGCTGATGCTGAACTGGCCGAGCTGGGAGGAAAGAAGAAAGGGAGGGGAGGGGAGAATCGAGGACTGCCGGCCTAGCCAGGCCAAGAATGCAATTGCCCCGGTGGTGGGAGCTGGGAGACCCTTGTGCTTGGACGGGACAGGGTCGGGGGACACGCAGGATGAGCCCCGCGACCACTGGTACCTTCTTGCTGACAGGTTAGTGGCCTGCGCGCGACGGGAGGTCCTGGGGCCAACAGGCCGCTGCTTTTCCACCCCCACCCCTTCCCGGGTTTGGGGGACCTGGGTGCATTTCCTGGGCATGAGCCCTTCGTGCTGCGGAGTCCCCAGTGCACGTTTCCTCCGAGATGCCCCGCACCCCACTTCTGGGGCCCTGTGTTTCCCTAGCCAGGCTTCACCCCTGGCCTTTTTTCTCTGCGCCCCCGCGGGCCCCTCCCTACCCAGCAGCGCCGAAATTCCATCTCCAGTTTCCATTCCCATTGCCCCCCACCCATCCCCAGCAGTCTGGGTGGTGAACCTCTCTGGATCCCTGCCTCAAAGGCTGGGGGTCGTCGACCCTCTGGGGGGTGGGGGCTCACCTTGCGAATGTGGCCCCGAGGCGAGCCATAGGAAATGGGTGTCGAGCTGTGCTCAGCTCTGCAAACACACCACATCTTTTCTTCCCCCTTTTCTTGAATCCGATCTGGAGAGAACATAAAAATATGCATCTGACACGCCTAATTCTCCTTTCTTCCTAAGCGAATTTCTCGGCAACGGAAATTTCATTTTTCTTAGGTTTTGCGGAGCAGGGAAATGGAATCGTGAAATGGTAGGAGCTAAACAGGGCATTGAGGTCAGGGTTAACCTCGGCTGGGGGCCAGAGACGCTGCAAACACAACGGTTTGCCCCAACTACACTATTTCGAGAAAGCGAAGACAATTAAAAACAGCTGTGGATGCCTCCAGTGTATTTGGCGGGCTTCGGAGACTCCCAGCTACGGCCTTTTGGTGATGATTACGAGGTTTACGCGGAGACATGGATCTCCCTGCAACGTTATGTTTTTCCAAATCTTGTAGGGTGAATGAATACCTTTAGTCACGGTAACCGCAAGTTTAATCCTTTGAAGCGTGTTGCCAAGATTTGGCCACAAATATTTGTGTATGTTTATAAACGTATATATTTTACGTTAGAGAAAATTGCAATGAGTTACAAGACTAAAATACTGATGAGGAAGGATGCTGAAATAAAAAAGCCTTAACGTGGATTTCAATTTAAGAAAGTGTTAGGCGCTGAGAAAAGGGACAGTCTGTTGATAATCTTAGTAAAAGAAGTTAAAATGAAAAAACAAATTGGCTACAACTGAGTGAGGTTCCTGAGACCCAGATGAGACACATTTGTATTTAAAGGCTAAAATAGCAGATTTGAGTAACATTGCTACATATTAGTTTGTACGTAGAGGATAGATAAGAATTTGACCCGTTGTAGATGACAGAATGGTAGAGATCTCAGTTAAAGCCAGCCTTTCTAAGAGTAAACAAAACTCTAGCACGTTTATTGAAACTCTACTTTTTAATCAGAAATAAAATATTGACCATCAGATATATGAATAAATGAAGTGCAGATTTCCAACACTGAGAGATATTTTCCTAGGCAGTTGGGTGAATATAATTATAGTGTTTAGAAGTGCCTTAGTGTTTTTCCACGCTTAGGATGTTCACTCTTCCCTGCAATGTTGAATGCTTTCAGGATTTCTTATGTTTTCTAGAATACTGTTCTGGTGACCGCTAGACAGTCAAATTCTTACCATTTTGTAAATCCCGGAAAGTTACTTCATCTAGTTGTTTGCTAACTGATAGACATTCTTTTTCTAAAAAATGAGATTAAAATACAGGATAGGTGATAGAGAAAACTCAGGTTTAAAAATCTAAAAAGTTTGAGCTAATTTGAACCTATTTGAATTTTTATTTCAGAATGTTAGCCAGGACTTTTTTTGGTGGGGTGGATGGAGGAAGAAACCCAGCTTTAGTGTTATCTTTATCATAATAAAAGTAATTCCTATTCATTGTACAAAGTTTAGGGGGAAAAACTCCAGAAAACTGGGAAAAAAACTCAAGAAGAAAATCAGGATCACCTGTAACCTCTTTATCCTGTGACAACCCCAGTAAACATTATGGACTCTACTTTCTCTATACATATACATGTGCCTAAATAATGTATATTTTTCATAGAGTTGCATGTGTATAATTTCTAAAAATTAAAAATGGGATCAAGTTAATTTCCTCATTTTTTTCTCTTCAAGGAGCCTTAGCTATCTAAATAACATTAAATTTTCAGAATCTTTTTAAAAATGGAAATAATAGTCCTTACTTTTTCTAATTGAAATTTAAATGAACATTAGTACAAAAATATTTAAAACCAAAGAACTGAGAGTTTCCTCTGAGCTCACTGTTCTAACACACACATAGTAATCTGGTATATATCCTTGTGTTTTTTATTCTATATATATGAAAAAATTTTTACTTTGCTTAGAAATAGATTTTTCTGAGGAAAAAAGCAACAATAGATAATCAGCTTTGAGAAAAAATTTTAATCTAAAGCAGCAAAACAATATTAAACATAAAAATGAAAATACAGTGTTAATAGGTAAATACTTGAGATGACATTTTTATGTTACCTAAAGCACAGAACAACATTAAAAATCACCCCCACATAAATACATTAGAATTTAAAACACTCTTGATATTTGATGTGGTAAGTGAATTTTGGATTTTCTCAGATATTTGTTCCCAGTGTTATGTTTCTTACCCGTCTTGCACAAGATTACATGCATAGCAAAAAGAGATGCTAAAATGCATTATTTACTTTATCAAATAATAACTGGGCATTGTATGGGAACACTTTAATCCATTTTAATGAGAATTTCCTGTGGATCTATGAAGCTGTTGATTAACTACCTGTGTTTAACTTAAGTGTAATAAGAAAATTGTATTTCAAATCCAAGTGGGATGTTCACTTGTCATATAATAGCTTTCTAATTGGATATTTTACTTATTTAAGAAAATTTGCCATGTATCTGTGAAGCTGTTGATTTACCTTTTATATTTAGCTTAATGTCTAGGGTAGTAGGAAAAATGTATTTCATAAAAAGTGGAATTTTCACTTGCCAAACAATAACTGGACTTTCTAGTTAGACATTTTATCTGTTTTAGGTGACAGTTTGCTTTGGATCTATGAAACTGCTGGTTTACTACATGCATTTGACTTAACTTTTAGTGTGGTAGGAAAAATTTATTTCTCAGCGAAGTAAAATGTTCAGTTGTCAAATATTAATTGGACTTAATACTTGATCGTTTTATCCATTTATTATAAAGAGTTTGCCATAAATCTTAAAACTGTTGATCGACCCCATTTATTTACTTTAAATTCTAGTGTGGTAGGCAAATTGTTATTCTAAGCAAAGTGTAATTTTCACTTGTCTCTCGGACATTGAAAATTAGCAAGAGACAGCACCAGAGAAAACTGATGAGAAAGATAACACATATCCAGTTTCTAGCACTGATTTTAACTGATGAAAACCAGGCTTGAAATAAAATGTTGAAGCAGTGAAGAAACCTTGACGTGTTAAAAAGTTCTCCGTCAGTTATTCAGATGGGTTGGGGTTTTAAGTGCAGTATTTATGGATCACATTTTCTCTGAAATAACCACTTTGTTTTTTTTTTTTTTCTTTTTTACTAAGTGTCCATGCTTACCCTATCTGGTTCCTTTTCTTTTCACTTACTGTTACCTCAGTTCTAAACACCCAAGTGTAGATTCTGTTGTTGATCTTATTACCCACTCTTGGTGTAAAAAAGGACTCTACGTGAATAGATAACATGTGTTTACATGTCCACTACAGATTCTTGGGCTAGAGCTCTGTGAAGTCCAGAGCTTCACGGAAATATTAACATGATGCATTTTGTTTCTTTCTATCCTTTCCGAGGTCTCCAACAGAGATGTGACAGAAAGACCGGCAGACATGGGCAGGCAGGCAGGCAGGCAGACAGAGAGACGTGGACAGATAGACACATGGGCACCCATGCATGCAAGACATCGAGGCTTTTTCTAAACTTTAGGATTCAGTTCTTCAGTTTGCTGCCTCCCTGATTTCTAGAAATATTAAGCCACAAGCAGCACTGCAGAATTGAAAAAAGGAAGCTAGTGTTTCTAAAGATCAACAAGTCTTTTCGAGTGACTGGTTTTCCCGATTGGGGTTTTCAGGTTGGTAGAATCAGATAGAGGCTCAATGCTCTCAAAGTTGTTTCACGCAGATAGCTTCTGAACAGCTTCCATGCACATTTCTGTCTAAGCAAAATTCCGGGGACTTCAGGTTTTCAAACAATGTAACTATAGTGAAGACCGTATTGAATAAAAAATAGTCTCCACAGTCTGACAGGAGAACAAGCATTTGCATTGATGTGCCTTTCCTTCTAGTCTTTGTTCCATGTGCATATGTATTTTCACTTGACTCTTAATTTTCATATGTGTAGATTTTTTACACTTTGCTTTGAAAGATAAGTGAATCTTGCTTTCAGCTAAGCATTTGTCAAGGCTTTTTGGAGGCTCTCGTATCTAAGATATTGTATAGACAAGCAGGATTGCTTTGTGAGCCTGGGGCAAGCTGTGTTGGTCACTGGGTTTGGGTCTGGAAGTTGTCCCTGGTGAAGGATCACAAGCCTTTGCCCTGGGTCTTCTCTTTTTCAACATTTTTATGGATAACTTTGATGAAGTTCTAAGATGCTTGCTTTAAAATCCATGGTGGACTTCAAAAAAGTCTATTACAAATAGATAACAGAATTGAGAGTTAATATGGTTTAAGTATGCTACAGTGCTATTCAAAAATATATTTTGTAGCAGTAAATGCCTCATAATTCATTGGCCTGTATAAAGGAAGGAGATGACTTTATATGGTAGCAGTTTTTGAGAAGAAGGACAGTTCATATGAACCAGTGGCTGCAAATTTTTTTTTTAAATCAATTTTAGATTCCAGTAATAGTGTAGTGTCCATATGTCACAAAAATTAATAGTAGCCTGCTCTGATTAACCACATCTGTAGTGTTGTGTCCATTTCTGGCCGTCACATTTAAAGAGAGACATTGACAAATTAGACCACTTCCAGAACAATCCGTGGGGATGGTGAGGGGTCTGGCTATCTTGTCATAGGAGGCATCCTCAAAGGGTCT